TTCATTGCAAGAGGTTAAACAGTAAACCTTTTTATTTGAACAAGTGGAATATCAACATTTTTAATATCTGAAATTTTCTCTTCGCCGACGGTTACTATCCATTTTTTAGTTGCTGTTGGATATAAATTATGAGACATTTTTTCGAATGTAGCGGTATATAAGAATGTTAAAAGGTGACCTTGGAAAACCATCAGATTTCATTTTAAAAGCCTAATTTACGTCTATACGTGTCCGACATCCAGTTGTATATAGCTGACAGCTTGATATGTCTACTAGGCATGTTACCAATATTGTTTTGAAATGATTAAAAAATATTCAGACTGATGAGGAAGAAAATAAATAAATATACAGTTAAAATTTTGATTTAATAAATAGTTGCTATAAATATTTAGACAATATTTGAAGTGTTCAGTTATCAGAAAAAGGTCGGCAAGATCTATCGTGGCTGAGTTGGTCAAAAATACACCGGATTTAACGACGGTTTATTTACTAAGGGTAACATCCTGAAAGTTTATGATAAATTCATATTTGTGAAAATTCACTGCTTTATTCGAAAATAAAGATAATATTTCTGTTAAACAAAGCGTTTATTCAAATATGGGTATTCACTATGGTGACTTTCTGTTAATTGAAACATAAAAATATCGTTAAAAATAAATAAAAGAGTGTGAACTGTGACCTGTGTGTGTGTGTGTGTGTGTGTTTGATAAAAATATAGTTTCCTCTTTATGCTATGTTTATGATAGAAATAGATATATATCCATTAAAGGCTTGTAAATATAAAAGTGTAAAAATTCAACATTGTTTTGACAATCTTTTTTTTTTTTTTATGTTAATCTTCAATTAAGAATTTCCATATATATATATATATATATATATATATATATATATATATATATATATTTGGTTGGATTGATGTGAGTTTGTGACCCTGGGTTTCACGCTTTTTGCGATCGTCAGACAAACTGATTAATTTTTAAAAATTTTGGGTTTATGTAGCTTGCGTGTATTAGTGTTATTATGGAAGTGGGGGAATCATCGTCGTGATGTCATCGTGCTAACGCAAACATAGATGCATGTTCATACGCCCGATGAGCTACGCAGACACACATACACACTTGGTGGTCCGTCGGGATTCATATATATATAAATATATGTGGACAGTTTCGGATTTGACATATGTATGTATATGGGTGGTGTTGTGTCTATACATACGCATTTGTATGTTAAAATTCAAAGATTGGAAGTGTAGCGAAAATTTCTCGTGAATGTATACATGTCAGTAATCAGAGCATTTTTTTAATTTTTTTTTTAATAATATTTCCTCGCATGTATGTATATACGTGTGGTGGGGTCTGCGTAAAATTATGATAGGTAAAAATTACTATTATTGTCATTTTTAATTTTTAAAAAAAAGGGTTTATTTGTTATTATTTTAAGGCTGGTTATTTGCTTGTTTTTGATGACAGTGTATATGTAACTGGTAGAAATTTCGGTTTGTAATCCTTATTGGTTATTTCTTTATGGTGGTATTTAATATGCTGGGGGAGGGGGGAGTTTACGTTAATAATTATAGCGGGTCTATAAGATAATAGTAGATGTGATGTGGTAGTAATGTTGTAAGGGATTGGAGACAATGATAATATAAGTAGCTAATAGTTATTTTAAATTGGTAGAAGTGATTATTAATGGTGGTGGGAGAATGATTAAAAACAATGTAATTATTGAGGTGGTAACTTGAACTAAAAAGTGATTGTTGGTGTTTTATTTTATTTTATTTTCTATCTATATATATTATTTTGTTATATATATTAATTTAATTTGGTATAAATCCTTATAATAGGGATTCTGTGTCAAATTATGATAGTTGAAAATTGCTATAATTTTTATTTTTAATTAAAAATAATATTATTTTAAAGCTGGTTATTTGCTTGTTTATTTATTTTTTGATGACTGTGTATATGTTTCTGGTAGAAATTTCAGTTTGTAATCCTTATTGGTTATTTTTATATTGGTATTAAATATGCTGGTGGAGGGGGTAGTTTACGTTAATAATTATGACGGGTTTATATGATAATAGTATATGTGATGTGATAGTAATGTGTAAGGGGATTGGTGACAATGATAATATAAGTGGCTAATAGTTATTGTAAATTGGTAGTAGTGATTAGTAATGCTAGTTTGAACTGAAAAGTGATTGTTGGTGTTTTTATTTTATTTTAAAACTAATAAATATTTATTTATTTTGGTATGCTAATAGGTATTTAATAGGTATTTAACTAAAGGTGATAGTTGATATTGTTTTTTATTTGGTTTTAAATTTTATAATTTTCTATTGTTAATAGACTCTTATTTATTTTGTAGTATAAATCAGTCGATGTCGGACGAAAGGTATTTATTCTCATGGTTACCTATTATATGGACGTTTTTTCGAACCTATTTTAGGACCGACTTTAAATATGTTGAAACCACTACATAACATAAATATGCTGGGGTAATTTACGTTAATAATTATAGTGGATTTATATGTTAATAGTAGATGTGATGTGGTAGTAATGGTGTTGGGTGTTGGTGGTAATGATAATATTAGTAGTTAATAGTTATTGTAAAGTGGTAGAAGTGATTACTAATGGTACAATGATAATGATAATAACGGTAAATGTAATTATTGTGATGGTATCTTGAATTAAATTGTGATTGTTGGTGGTTTGTCTTTTCTTTTTTTTTTTATCCGTTTGGTATAAATTCGGATAATAGGAACTTGTTCTCATTTGACTGATTTTTGGAGATATTTTTTGCTGTGATATTTTCTTTTTTCGTGTAGGCAAAGTAGGCATTTTTTTGTAATGTTGCTGTAGGCAGGAGCTTTTTTCAATACTTTCCAACTTATTGTTGGTGCGATATTTCTGTCTTTTTTGCTGCCATATGTATGCGGATAGCGTAGTGCTGTTTTGAGTATTTCTTGTTGGTGAATGAAAGGTTGTGATTGTTATTCCTCTTCTTGAATGGACCTTCAGTGGCACCGATGTAGTACATTATGCTGTTGTTTGCACTTACCTTCGCCTTGTATATTGTGTTCGTAAGTTGGCAATTTCCCTGGCGTGGACATGTTCTATTTCTGCAGTTGCATTTTGGATCCTTATTTTCATTTTGTAGGTTGTCATTTTTTTTTTTGTTGGGGCTTTTGATTATTTCTGTTATACTTTTGTGCAGCTGTAACTGATCTTTTTATTTTGTTGAATATTTTTTGTTAATCGGTTTGTTTCAGTGAAGTGCTTTTCTATTAAGTTTAGGAATATCTTGCCTATGTTCGTTTTAACGGTTTTGTTGTATGGTGGATTAAACCAGATAATATTTCTTTTTCTGTTTTTGCGTTTTGGCTGTGGAGGTATATATTGTAGTTGTTGTGTGTATCCACTTGCTTTTAGTGCTTCGTTGTATGGTGCTTTTTTGTTATTGAAAATGTTTATGTTAGATGAGTTCTCAGATAGTCTGCGGCTGATTAATATTGGTATCTGTTTGATGATTGAAGGTGGGTTGTTGGAGGATGTGTGTACGTAAGTTGGGATGTCATTTTCTTTTTTGTACGGTTCGTATGAATTGTTGTTCAGGTTGAGAGTGACGTCAAAGAAGTTTACTGTTGTTGTGCCTGCGTTTATCTCTATTTTGAATCTAATATGTTAGCTCTATCTCTGATATTGAGCGCTTTCTAATAAGTACCGCGCATATAATATATAAATAATTATATATATATATATATATTTATATACACTTTTTCATTTATATATATATATATATATATATATATATATATATATATATATATATATATATATATATTATTAGCATAAAACAAACAAACAATAAAATAATTTTTAAATTCCATAGTCCTAATAAATAGTTTAAATGCCCTACAAAAAAAATAAAAAAAGATAACCCTTTATGAAGTCGTCAAAAAACAAATGTTAGCGATTTACGACAGTTTTTATATACACAAAACCCTTTCAGAAAAAAATAAGAAATAAAATAAAAAATAAATAAATCTCCATAGACACTTAACCAGACTAGACGATGTCATCTTCCGCTTTAAATTTAGGCTCCCCAACCTTACCCTGACTTGACGTCTGTGAATGTAACTGAGATATTGATACAAATTATTAACCCTTACGCCCCTTTTCTTTAAACAATTGCTCTAGCCGTTACCATAGTAATTTTGATTTCAATAATGAATATGCTAATAAAACACGTAAATTTCAGAAATAAGTTATTCCAAAAAAAAAAAAAAAATTCGCTTGAAGATGGAACAGAGCTTAGTACTTTAATTCAATTTAATTCAAATAATTATATTGAAGTTTTCGGCTCTTGTTTTTGAAACATGAGAACTCTTATGTAGCATGTTGGAATCATATATTTAAATAAATAATTATATATATATATATATATATATATATATATATATATATATATATATATATATTATGAAATGGACAAAGTCCGACAATTATTTTAATACATTTTATGTTTTATACATTCTTTTATAAATACAAATATTTAAGTAAATACTCTGTTTTTTCGATTCCTGTCGGAGGACTAAAATTTTGTATGAAAATTTCTCGGACATTCAGGCCGGTAAATGTTGTTTAATACTGTTTATTATAAAAAAAACAAAAAACAGAGCATTTACTTAAATATTTGTATCTATAAAAAGTACGTATAAACATAAAAATGTCTTAATATATATATATATATATATATATATATATATATATATATATATATAAGCGTTTTTTATTTGAAGACTTTTGTTTTGTTTAAAATTCTCATATATTTATATCGTATGTTTCATATATTTTAAACGAGGTCCACCTTTCATATCTCGGCACATTTTCATTTTTGAGAGCTTACTGTAATTCTTTATCGTCCATTTTTATTCCATCCCTTTTCATTTATTTCTCTATAATTCTATTTGCTCTTCTTAATCTATTCTGTATTATTTCAAGTATTATTTTTTTTATTTCCTTCATATCTTACTCCAAAACTTTCTTTTGATGATGTTCTTTGTTCTTCTTCTGCGGACTTCGTTGATTTCTTTATTTCTCTATAGAATTCCCGCCCATGCTAATTTTGAAAGTGTTAAAATGTATTTCTTTTCTCATATCTCCTCTTTCTTCTTCATACTCTTAGCTAGATGTGTTGTCTTAAGATTTCTTTGGCATTTCGTTTTATATTATATTATATTATATTTTTTAGGTTTCATTTTTAACAACCTCCTGCTTTTCACGTTTATAACTTGCAATACGTTATCTGATATCTAGAGTTATTCCCAAAGAACGATTTCCCTATTTCTTATTTTCTTAAGCCTGATTTATGTTTATTTCTTCACTTAGTTTTTGTTTTCAAAGGTTTTTACATTGATTTTTATGCCGACTGCAGCAGAACATATTACTTCATTTAAGGCATTTAAATTCAAGTCAATATTTCTTTTACCATTTAATTGATTTATCTTTTATTCTCATAATTCTTTTTCTTTTCCTTTTCCAGACTTATTTGCTTCAAATTTACTCTTTCTTCCAACTTATTTCATTGTGTCTTTGCTCATCCGTTAACGATGTGTGGAACGAAGACAGTCAAACACCAAATGACAAACAAAAAAGGTTTCTGAGTCGGTAGATTGCGCATTCTTCCGGTTAATAAATTAATGCTTCGAAAATAAATATTTAACATTTTTCAGCCAACAATAAAAAAAAAACTCTTCGTGATTCCTTTAAAGGGTGTTTAAGCAAAGTTTCTAGACAGACAAACGAATAAGGAGATACAGACGGCAACAGACTACAGCAGTTCACGACATCAGGCGTAAAAGAAAATTCCTTTATTCATTTACCCGTCTTCCACACCAAGCTACGTGACACTTACACTTTCTTCCTCACTTTTTCCGTTGCCTCTTCTTTCTCACACATAGACGCGAAAAAGTCACATTTCTTTTCATTTTAACAAACAAATGCAAACAAGGATAGTAAGAACTTTGACACTCATACACGCTAAGAAATATTTAGCTGTAAAAACATGAAAATAATATTTTATATTTTTATAATTAAACATCTTTTTCGCCTTTTTCTTTGTTGTGGCTTGATTCAAATCCGCAACAGGTATTTGTTTTATTTCCTCAAATTCCTCTATATTTTCCTAATTTCTTAACTGATTTTTGTCTTCCTGATCATTTTTTGCCTCGTCTATTTTCTACAGCTTCCGTCATAATTCGACACATCGACATATTTTCTATTCTAATTTTGGTAATTCCAATTCAATATTTATTTCAATTTTAATATTTTCTTCGAGTTCAGCGAACTCTACATCAGTTGTTGCGGGATACTGATATGTTTGAGTAGAAATATTAGTAACCATTATGTTGTGGGAATCAACACTTTGGATATTAAATATTTACGGGCTCTTGGAACATTTATCCCAGAAACAATATTGTCGGATTCAGTATGAGTCCAGGAAAAAAAAATAAGAAAACACTAAAAAATAAGTCATCAGTAAAAGGATGAACCCGAAATGCGATTTGCAAGTCGAGAACGCTAGAATCAAGCAGTCGCGAAAGTTTAAATATGTGGGACAGAGGATGGTAAATGCGATACTGAGATCCGTAGGCGTATTGGGATGGCCAAGGAAACATTCCAAGAGCAAGGCAGAGTATTGCGAGACAAGAGAATTTCTTTGGTAACAAAGAAAAGAATACTGAACTGTTACGTGACATCTGTTTTTCTTTACGGCAGTGAATGTTGGACGATTTCCTCAAAGATGAAGAAGAGACTCGAGGCGACGGAGATGTGGTTCTACAAAAGAATGCGAAGTATATCACGGACCGAGCGTGTGAACAACGATGAGGTCTTAGAGAAGATGCAAACAAAGAGGAGGCTTATACTTAATATCAGGAGAGGCAGCTGATGTTTCTGGGACACATAATAAGGAAGGAGGGCCTTGAGAATCTGATACTCACGGGTCGAGTAGAGGGAAAGAAAGACAAGGGAAAGCAGCACGTGATATTCCTGGCAGGCTTAAACAAGTGGGTGACAGAACGTGGTCTGGGTGAGGAAGCAAAGAGAAGGAACTTGTTGAAAGCTGCAAGGGATAGAGGGTGGAGAGCCATGATTGCCTACGTCCTGAAAGGACATGGCACATTAAAAGAAAGAAAGAAACAATAAGTATAAAACAAACGATAATGCATGTATTCAGACGAAATACATGTGTAAACAATTGTAATGAGCGGAAAAACATTAAAACAAATTATAAGGATGTGCTTGCTTTTGTGCATGTGCGTGTATGTGCGTGTAACAAGAGTGTGTGATATATACCTGTATGTATGTGTGATAGAGTACAAAAGTCGAGAGAGAAAAACCATGAAAATGAACATGCCCATGTGCGACTACATCTGAAAGCAAGAGTTGAAAAGACCAAAAACAAGTGTGAGTGATAATATCATTGACAATTTATAGACTCAAAGAGCGCCCTCTAGTGAGCACGTTTGACAAAGCCAAGTAGGATAACCCACACAGTCAACCGTTTTCTTTAATAATGCTCCTTTTGTTATTTGTTAGTTTATCAGCATCTTTGTTTTTTACTGCTATCTTTCAACATGTGTCTATATTTCTGAAACACAGGGCCCAGTGAATAAAGATGTTGGTTGATGGATCCCAAAAGTGACTTGACCCAAAGAGTTATGAGTTCAATACCTGACCATAGCAGAAGGAACTTTGAGAGTTGAATTACTAAAGGGAATTAACTGAACTGAGATATTAAAAAAAAAGGTATGGCACGTAGAATCAGAACAATCTCCCCTCCCTCTCTCCAAGTGAACTAAATAAAGAGTTCAGTTTGAAATACCAACGTATATCACCTGAAGAAGGTTGGAGAGTACAACGGCCGAAATGTCGTGAATATGGCAATAAAAATGAGGACAACAGTTCGAATGATGTAAATAGTATAAATGGTGACTTTCAGTTTACTCAGTTGGCTCTTGTTGTATCAAGAGATTCTTGACAAAAGCCAAAGGAGATTCTGCAACATTATCAGTCCTGACTTGGCATCTCGGCTTCAGTTACTGTCCTACTGTCCTAACGTATCGTCTCTATGTCTTTTCTATAAATATTTTCATGGCAATTGTTCTTTTTTTGATAATTTCACCCACAGGCAAGGCAATAAATCCTCTAAGCTGCAAATGTTAGAGAATCATCATTTATTCAGTTAGCCAATTTTGTGTTACTGTGGTCACCAGTCCCCCTTGTAGTAATTGCGATTTATGGTGGCATCCAAGGCAAAATAGTGCAATGACTTGCGGGTTATTTTCAAACCGGATATGTTGAGGTTACTTAGTCCCTCCTCTCAGAAGTTACTCCGCACTTGACCTCCGAAGTACAGCTCCTATACCAAGGCTGGCGACTGGCCGATAGCTACTTGATACAGGTGGATTGGAGAGAAGTATTACCCTTCGCCATTCGGATCGGAAAACCTTTGACTACCGTTAAGCCGTGGATCAGTACAATTCTGTATCCCAATTCACTTGAGTAAAGCAGAATTAACTGCGTTGCTGCAAAGGTGCAACCACTGCTGCAAAGGTGCAACCACTGACGATACACGCTATGCACCACTAATATGATACATCTCTAAGTTAGAGAATTTAAAAAAAAACTATAAAAGGGAAAGAACAATAAACGAACAAGAATTAAGAAACAGAAAATATTGCTATTAAAACAGGATCTTTCTCAATAAACTGAATGACAACACGCCGCATTCACAAACTTACTCACCAGCCAGGAAACACCCCTCGAGCGTCCATCAAAATTTGCAGAATAGAGGATAAACCTCCCAGATAAAATGTTCTCATTATTGCGAATTGAAAACCGAGTCTCCTGTAAACAGCCTACATCCACGCCGAGACGATGAAGTTTTTTAATTTTTTCTCTTTTCTCGTATCCGGGATCGTAGTTTTTTTTCTGTTCCCCCAAAGGAATTCGTTTTAGAATCCGGGGCGTAACCCTTACGCTGGTAGAGGAAATGGCCTGTTAGTGTCTTCCGTCCCGGGGGCTTCAGGGGACTGAGGTCCCACTGTCTGGCGTTTCCCTCTGGCCCTAAAAGCAAACAGCCATTCTGCACTTTCCCGACAACTGCACTACTAGCAGACGAAAGCTCTTCGGGGGAATGGAGGCTGAGAGCTCAGCAAACCGGGGGGTGTAACCACACCGGTCCCTGAAGCTGGTATGTCCATCACAGGCGAGGTGGAACTTAAAGACGCGGTCAGAGGGGGATTCTGGTCGACTGGGGCCTGACTTCCAGAGGCCTTCTTTTCTGGGCAGGAAAAGAAGAGGTGGCCAGCCTCTCCACACATCCAACATGTTGGTTTACAGCCAGTCAAAGTGACCGGCAACTTCAGGCCCACTACTTTCAGACTGTTGGGAATAGAGTAGAAAGCTTTACGAACCAACATTATTTCAAACCCCATCCCCCGGTCAGGCTATCGCAATGTTGCCATACCGCGAAAAGAATGCAGCCAGATGTTTCACGATAACGTGAGGACGGACATCGAATATTGCCTAATTCATAGTGGATACTAAGGATTAGATCTTTTCATGATTATATCCCTAATCCCGTTCACAGGCATGGGTAGCAGTGTGTCCCACATGAAGAAGCCTGCACCTTTAACAAATCTTTGGAGCTTAATCTCCAGGCACTCCAGTGATTTCACGATTGTGTCTTTCGTGGAGCGACAAATTTTGTGCGAGCGCTTGTCCACCAGGAAAACTGACACTATTCGATTTTCAATCTTCTTTATTTCTTGGGGTTCTTCCAAGAGTCCACCTTCTACCATAATGTAAGTGTAACTCATGGCCTGATCCAAAAACTCTGTCATATTGATAATGCATTTAGCGATTTCACGGCCTCCGCACTGTCACTTATTTTTTCTGAATCATGGTTCTTCATACTCTTTTGGCCATTATTGGCCTTCTTAGTTTCGATGCTTGTCACATTATTGGTCTCCGCATTATTTTTTGGAATACCTTTAATACTGAGTGCTCCTCAATGTTATTTTGTCGGGTGGGTCCGTTT